AAGCTATTATTGTTTGAGTCATATCTTGATATTTTTACCTTATCTATATATGTAGCCTCTCTTTTCATTTTAAATTGGGGTTTTTCAAAGAGAAACCAAAAGAAAACTGTAACTCTTCTTCAGTTTCAGTATTGTTGTTACTTATCAATAAAATGTCAAAATGAGTTTTGGTGAAATACTTTCAGTTATGTAGTTAAAATATTTTTTATGTAGCATTTAGATCTGAGAAGCAAACCTTTCTTGGGTTTTCTCTGTGTTAGATGTATTTGTCACTGAACAGGAAGAATTTAAAGTTTGTAACAAAAGATAAAGAGTAAATTAAAATGAGTAAGAGGGTACTAAGAAGAGTAAATTTGGTTCAGTTTTGAAAGTAGTAGTAAATGTGGATTGATAGGGACTAACAAATTTGTTTGTTTTTCAAAAATATATGAAACTGTAGAAGAAAACAGAATAGTAGGCTTCCTGACATTTAAAGATTTGAAAGCATAAATTTGACTATAAGGCATGTTTCCTGTTTTTAATAACATAATGGGGATCATGGTGGCACACACCTATAATTGCCTGTCATCCCTACATGTGGTAATCTGAGGTAGGAGGGTCACTGAGTTTGAGGCAAGTTCAAAGGCAGTCTGGACTACAGAGTGAGACCCTGTCTCAAAAAAAGGAAAAGCATGAGATCTGATGAGTAAATTCCTATTAAAATATGCTCTAAAAAATCTATAGGAAGTGAGACAATCAGAACTGTTCTTTTTAACATTAAGAAGGGAATTCTCAGAATGCTAAGTTGTATTCAGAAAATGTGAAAAAATACTTAACCAATTTTAAAAAAATATTTAAAGATTTTTAATTTCATATAGTACAAATATATGTAGTTGTTAAACACTATTTGTAGTTTTATCACACCTTATTCATTACTACAAGTGCTTTACAGAACCAACTTACTAAATCCTCACAATCTTAATTTTGTATATATATTTTAATAAGAGGATACTTAAATACATTTCTAAAATGGGCATTTTTTTCCCTGCCTGTTGGTTAATTAACAAAGGCACCTCAGTATGCTTTATTTAAATTGGCCTGAAGCTTTTTTTTCTAGGACTGTGAATCAAAACCTTTGCTTATACAAAGCACATGATCTACCAAACATTAAACTTTTAGCCTCAAATTTTTTTTTTTTTTTTAGGACAGGGTGTACAGGGTCTCACAGCGTAGATCAGACTCCTAGTAATCCGCCTATTTACAGCTTCTCAAGAGCTGGGGTTACAGGCACATGCTACCACGCCCAGTCTCCTCAGTGTGCTCTGGGGGTGTGGCCAGCATGGCAGTTCCAGGGGATCAAACTCCTGGGTCCTGCATCTGCCTAAGCAGGCGCTTTAATCTGCTGAGCTATTTGGCCAGCCCTTAAGCATTTTTTTTTTTCTTCTTCCTCTTTTTCTTTTTTCTTTTCTTTTTTTTTTTTTTTGCGGTACCAAGAATTGAACTCAGAACCCTGCTCTTGGCAGGCAGGTGCTTACTCTACTGAGCTATCTCCCCAGCCTAACCTCTAATTTTATAACGAAAATTTTACACTACATTAGTTTCACTAAAATAATTTGTTTAAAAAGATTTAAACATGTTAATAGTTCACATTTTATAATCAAATGTATATTTTATGTATGTTTATAATTCAGATACTTAGAAATAAAAGCTTTCATATCATAGACATATTTTGTTTTATCTTTGTTCAAAATAATTACTGTGGACTTTTGACAGCATATAAGTTTGAAAATACATTTGAAATTATCTGTTAGCAACATAAATGTCTTTTTAGGGAATTTTGTTCATGTGCCTACTATAAATATGGGGAGGTAAAAGAAAGCAATCTAGGGCTGGATATAGCTCAACAGCACAGTGTCTGCCTGTGAAGTATAAGGTTGGGAGTTTGATTCCCAGTACCAAAAAAAAAAAAAAAAAGAAAAGAAAGCTATTTTATATCAGTAAGGAGTGCTTTTACTTCTTTTAAAGTATTTTCTCCCTTTATTATGAAATGATTTTTTTTTTCCTGTTGGGTTTCTGTGTGAGGTAATCTTTCAGTTGCTTGAGTTTTAGGTACTGAGATTATGGAGGTTTTGCTGTATCTTTACCTTATGATTCTCTCATAATGACAGGAAAAATTACACTTTTATCTTTATAGTACATGAGATAATACTGAATTTTAGGTAGACCTGAAACTTTATTCAAATAGGTTTCATATTAAATGTACCTACTTATTATATACCGTCTTCCACTTTCTGCAAAGTAAACTAATACTGAGTGTTGTCTATAAACTATTTTTAACTCATCTAAAGGATAATGTAGCAAAAAATAAAGTTACTTTCATTTCACCGTGTTGATGTAATCAGGGTGGATTGTGATTTTGAATGTTTTAGAAATTAGGCTGTGTCTATATCTGTATTATTTGGAAGATATAGAGAAAAGTCACTAGTATAGATTTTGTTTTTTCTTTTTCTTTTTCTTTTTTTTTTTTTTTTGCAGAACTGGGGATTGAACTCAGGTACTTGCGCTTGCCAGGGAAGCACTTATTCCACTGAGCCATCTCCCCGGCCCCTTAGATTTTGTTTTTTCACATCTATAGTGCTCCCCTTTCTAGATACTCATGTATGTGTGACTGTATATATTTACTGATTGATTAAGGAAACCTGGATGGTTTCCAGGTGATAGCTGCTGCTATCCACACATTTTCATTTTATCTTATTTTATTTCATTTCATTTTTTATGTGTTTAGGACAGGGTCTACAGGGTTTTACTACATAGATCAGACTCATAGTGCTTCTCCTGTTTTCAGCCTCCCAAGCACTGGGATTACAGGCATGCGCCACCACACCCAGTCTCAATGGCCGTCTCAGCACACCTCAGGAGCGGGGCCGGCAAGGCACATGGGGATTAAACCCCAGCTGCTGCATCTGCCTAAGCAGGTGCTTTAGTCCGCTGAGCTATCTGGCTGGCCTTCCCACACATTTTTAGAGCTTACCTCTTTTGCATTCACTAAGACAAAGGTAGAGGGCCAAAAAGTATTATGAATTAATACTAAGAATTTTAAGTACAAAACAGCTGGTGGCATAGTGTGTGACCATGAAGTGAGAAGACAGAAGAGACATGGTATATTCTGCCTTGAGATAAAAAAGCCAGATTGGGTGAAGGGAGTTTGATTTGATCCAGGTGTCAAACCAAGCACACGTTGGCATTTTAGTTTGTCCTGTCATAAGGGAATATAAATATAGCCTCGATAGGGTGTAGAGATTGCCTGTGGGCTAGAGTTAATTTCTTTTCTTTTCTTTTTTTAATGTATTTGGTGCAGGGTCTACAGGGTCTCACTACATAGATGGAACTTGTAGCAATTCTCCTGTTTTCAACCTCCCAAGTGCTGGGATTATAGGTGCACACAACCACACCCAGTCTTGTTTTTTTCCTGTTATGCACAGCTCAGCATAGCCTGGGCCAATGAATAGTTAATTTCATGGATACTTTAGAACCATTTTAAGAATATTTTATTTAAATGGGTATTCCTGAAATTAAATATAGAACATTGAATTTTGACACACACTCTCTCCTTCCCACCTGTTCTGTCATTTATTTCTCACCCACACTTTCCCAACATTCTTTTCATGGAGCTTCAGTTTTCTTTTTACTTCTCTCATCTAGCTAAGTGTTTCTTATCTATGGCAATACAGAGTTCTACAGTCATAGAAAAGAATGGCTCTGTAAGTCTTTATAACCCATGGCAAATAGGTTAGTGAGTGGCTGGATGCAAAGAAGCTGCATCCAACTTGTTCTAACGTTGCTACCCTGTGACAGGCTCACGAAGGAAGGTTGGTGTCAGATGGTGTGGACTAGGCTTCTGTATTCTAATCCTAAGATTTTTTTTTTTTTTTTCGGTACCAGGGATTGAACTCAGGACCTCACACTTGCCAGGCAGATGCTTAATGATGCTGAGCTATATTTCCAGGTCCCTTCTGAGATTAAAACTCAAATATTGCTGTTTTTTTCTTCCTTTATAGTTGGGAGCTTATCCTTTTGGCCCAATATTATCTGTTTCTAGTTCCTACAAAAAAACAAAAAAGAAGTATTGGTTCTACCCTACCCCTTCCTAAATTAGTTCTTGTTTGAATTTCAGAAAGAGGTATTGACTGTTCCTTGATTCAAGGGCAAAGAGAGGGCACAGTAGAGGATGCAGTCCTCCAATCAGTTCCTTCATGCATCTGATAGTTTGTAGTTCTTTGGACACTAAAAAGTACTCATTTGCTTCTTTGGATTTCTCTCAGCTTCTACTTCTGACTTCATATGTTCAATGATCCTGAGAGTCAAGCTAGTGTGTCATTTGATTTTCCCTATGTAGTATCTTTATTATGGCATCTCTTGACTCATCTCCTGCTATTATAGTTTGATGAAACACTTAATACTGTTCTAGCCAGTTTTTCATAAAATGGACCAATTTTTTTTTTTTTTTTTTTGCGGAACCGGGGATTGAACTCAGGCCCTTGCGCTTACCAGGGAAGTGCTTATTCCACTGAGCCATCTCCCCGGCCCCCCAAAATTATTTTTTAAAGAGATTATATTTTTTTCAGAGCAAGTTAGGTTCATAGGAGAGAAAGAACCAAAATTTTTAAGTACTCCCCACCCTGGCATATCCTCCTCATGATCAGCATCTCTCATCAGAGAGATACATGTGTTATAATGGTCATTCCTTTAAACCATCCTTTGAAAAAGCCATTATTGAATGGAAAAGAGTGCTGGACTATGTATTGAAAGTTTTGCCTAAAACTATCAAACATCTTCATTTACTCTTATCATTTTAAAGTGGGCTAAGTTAGAAAGCTCAAATACATAAAGTAGGAGTTAGACTTATAACTAAATTTTGGTGAATAATCTAACAGAAGTTACCATATAACTTTTCTTAACCAAAGAATAATATCTTTTCTAAATTTTGGTTTTGATGTCAGTTTTTTTATTTTTTTCCCTAGTTGCTCTAGGTCGTAACCAGCCTTTGAAAAAGGAAAAACCAAAATGGAAAAGCGATTACCCAATGACAGATGGACAGCTGCGCAGCAAGAGGGATGAATTTTGGGACACTGCACCAGCTTTTGAAGGCCGTAAGGAAATTTGGGATGCCTTGAAGGCTGCTGCACATGCTTTTGAGAGCAATGATCATGAACTGGCACAAGCAATCATTGATGGTGCAAACATAACTTTACCACACGGTAGGTTTGGGGGTCCTCAAGGACAGAGGGAACATCACCTGCTTGTTTTTAACAGCAGAGAACCAAATCAGAAAAATCTTTTCTTGCTATATGTTGTTCTGATTTTTTTAATGTAGCAAAGAATAGTATTCTATTTTTGTCTCTTTCAGCTGGAGATAATGTTTATATTTTTATGTTGTTACAGTAGATGTTAAATCAGAAAATAATTGATAACGTGTTCTCTAGCTTTCTAGAACACGTTGTAATATAGTTCTCTATAAAGACCTCTTCACCCCTTCCCCTGCTCCATCACTATCCCTTGGCCCATCTGTAAAGGCCTCTGCTTCACTTCTTCCTTAGCTGCACTAGAGATCGTCTCAATTTAGCCTTCCTGAGATGCAAAGATTCAGTGAATGTCCCTTGAGTCATCATATTTTCTCATCAAGCCTGTTTTCAACATAATAAGAAAACTAAGCTAAGAAGTGTTCTTAAGGATAGTTTGCTGATTGTAACTGAGCTCATTAGAAACCTCTTCTCTTTGCTTAGGAATGGGGCTATCATGAGGACTGTAAGCTTTGAGTGTTTATAGGGATATACACATTAGATTCATGCACATACTCTTGTTTGATCTTTTTGACCAGAAATATGAAAAATGTTCATGTTTTGTGGGAATGTGGCTCAGCGGTAGAGCTCTGATCCTCAGCATCATACACACACACATGCACACATGCTCATGTGATACTAAGATTTTTTTTATAATTTTTGCCTTTTTTTTTTTTTTTTTTTGGTGGGGTGGGGCTCAAGGGAATTAAACTCAGGACCTTGAGCTTACCAGGCATGCACTTTGTGCCACTGAGCTATCTCCCTGGTCCCTCTCTTTAGTTTTTCAAGTTAGTATTTTTCTAGGTCGTCTCTAGACTCATAATAGACAACCACCTAAATTCCCTTGTGTTTCTTTTTTATTCTTTGTTGGACTACCTTTATTGTTTTCTCCCATATCTCTTTGTCTACATTCTTAGGGACACAGTGCTTTTTACATTTAACCATCCGCTTTTATGTCCTTCAACTCTGTGTTGAATGTTTAACTTGCTGTCTTTGCCAGCTTTCCAAATATCCATTAATTTTCTAATTAAATGTGCTTCCTAGAAACATTCCTTTTTTATAACTGTCTGTTCATTGTGAAAGCTTATATTATTATGAGTTTGTATTGCTAAAATTTAGTTAGCACCCACTGGTCACCTTTTCTACACAGATGTAAAAATGATCCTTTCTATATGTGAAGAATTTATAGTAGAGTGCAATTTTAGTGTGACTACTTAGTCCCAGTTTTCATAGATAGTCTGTAAATTCCTACCTCTTCTGTGATTAGGGATTAGGAGGAGGCCTGTTGATTTTTTCAGTCCTATAATTACTATTTTCAGCTACTCCTTTTATATAATATTCAGTGAAGGGTTTGCCTCTATAACTGTTTTTTTCTTTTTGATGCTTATATCCTATATATTCCAAGCAGAATATATGTTTGTGTAGGTTGGCAAGTGGGTGGAAGAAGAGTCATCTGTGTGTGATTGTCTGAATTTAGAAGCCTGAGATCCAAAACCTTGGAACTTTAAATTCTTTATTTTGGGGCCAGCCAAATAGCTCAGTGGCTTAAAGTGCCTGCAAGCAGGCGCAGGGGCCAGGAGTTCGATCCCTAGTCCTGCTGTGCTGGCCCCGCCCCTGGGGTGTGCTGAGCCAGCAATTAAGACTGGGCTTGGTGGCGTGCACCTTTAATCCCAGCTCTTGGGAGGCTATAAACAGGTGGATCACTATGAGTCCGATCTAGTAGTAAGACCCTGAACACCCTGTAGACCCTTCCCAAAAATGCAAAAAAAAAAACCCCAAAAATCTTAATTTTGTATTTAACATAGTTACTGTAGCAGTGTCTGATTGTGTTCTGACAGTATGGTCTTGTTTTAAAGGTCATGAAGGCTAAGTAGCTCTATTTCACCTAAAATAGGGTCTATAATCTTATTAGATTAGGCTGAGATGTATAAAGACCCAAGTCTCTCATTCCTGCTTATCTATGTGAATTGTTGAGAAAAATAATGTTACTGGAGCTTCATCAACCAATAATTTAAAGACAGGTATACTTGGAAATCTGAAAATATTGAATAACCTTCTATTCCTCCTGTCTTCTTAAGGAGTATTTTCTGTGTAAGTATGAGAAAATCAAACTGATTCCTGATCTTTCCTCTTTCCAAGGTCTGTAGTAACTTTCTGACTGTTGATGTTATTGTTACTGATACCCTTGTTCATATTTGAAGCCTACCAAAGATTTTTTTGGGGTGAGCCTTGAGTAAACCTGTCATACATTGTCTAACTCACCATCAGTTTATAAATAAGTTCGTTTGTATGCTTTTACCTAGACCTGCTCAGTGATACTAGTGCAATTCTTTGCATCTTTTTTTGTAATTATATATTTGAAATTTTACTTTAGACATGTTATATTGTGTTATCTTTTATTTTTATTTATTTTTTGTATTTTTTTAGAGAAGGGTCTACAGGGTGTTCAGGGTCTCACTACTAGATTGGACTCGTAGTGATCCGCCTGTTTACAGCCTCCCAAGAACTGAGATTACAGGTGCACGCCACCATGCTCAGTCTCAATGGCTGTCTCAGTGCCCCCCGGGGGCGGGGCCGACACGGCAGACCCGAGGATCGAACCCCCTGGCCTCTTTAATCCACTGAGCAATTTGGCTGGCCCTGTGTTATCTTTTAAATATCCAAAGGACTTCATATTTTTGAATTTCAATTATTGCATAGAATTTGTCTGGTACTTAGCTCAGGTTGTGTTATCAAATCCAGTCTCACTTCTGTCTCTACTGTATTATTTGCAACTACTGTATATAACTTTGGACAAATCATGTTTCTGAAATCTTTAGTTTTTCACATGTAATATATGGATAATAACTAGCTCATTGGAAGCTGTATTGATTCACTATGGTGGTAATACAGCACATGTGAATTGTTCACACAGTGTGTGTTATCCAAAAGGCAATTAATGAATAGTAGTGCTCATGATTTTTTTTTATTTTATTAACATTTAAAAGTAAAATCTTGAATTAGAGATTTTTATCTTTTTTACACATGTACTATCTATTAGTGACTGCTTTCTTTTCCTTTTATGGTAATCTGTCCTTGAGCAAATATCTTTGATGGGATTTTGAGGCTGGGTTGATTCAGAACCACAAGTGCTAGTAGTCTTATTAATTAAAATTTTAGTATATGTGCTGCCGAAGTGAGCACTAGACTTATTAACTAGAAAGCAAGGCAGTGAAGATATGTTAGCCTCATCCTGTGCCTTGTTCATCCCTTTCCCTTCACTTATGTTCCTCAGTATTACCTGTATGAGTACTGAGCACATGGTAGGTCAACAGCCTGACAAGATCCTGAGTCATTCTGTAAGCTTTCTTCAGTCATATCTTTTTGTTTTCTTGTTTTCATCTTATCTCATCTCATGTTCTTTTATTATCTCAACTTTTTATTCATACTATCATTTTTCTAGCAGAGATATAAACAGGTCTTCAAGATGTATGTAATAAGCAGTTACTTTTTTTTTTGAGACAGGGTCTTGCTATGTAATTCAGGTTGATCTTCAGTTCACTGTGTAAACCAGGCTGGACTTGAACTTGGAGCAATCCTCCTGCTTCAGCCTCCTGAGTGCTGGAATTACAGGTATAGGCCACTATGCCCAGTTCTCCTTTTCTGAGGTATTTTTCAAGCAAGTGACAATAGCACCTTTTCTTTCCATATTCCCTACTGCTCTTTTCTTTTTTCTTCTTCTTTCCCTTATAGTTATTCCACTGATAATTATATTATTGTCTCAGTTTCAGTTAGCACACCATTTTCATTACGTTCCCGCCTTATAAACAAAATAATGTTATTATTTTAATTATCTTTCTCTGCTAATATCAGTGATAACTTTATTACTCTGAAGTAACAATAGAAAGGGTTTAGAGATAACTTGGTATCATAATTACTTGGGCATTTTAAATAGGCACATATATTCTCTTTGGAAATTATTTTCTAATTAAGAATGGTAGGCACATTGTGTTGTGGAAGAAGTTTCCTGTGTGATTCTGATACCTGCTGCCTCTTCCACATCCTCCTTGTCTCACGTGAGCTTTATTTCTTTTGATTTGCACAACATCTTTCTATGCATTGTCTTACATTTCTGAAAGTGCTTATTCACTTTTTTCCTCAGTTGTCATTTTGTCATTACCCAGTAAAACTGTTCGAAATATATTGTACTATTTTATCAGTGAAAGCAGGTTTTCAATGTCCCTGTACTAATAGATTTAGTGATTTTTCCAAGTTAGCATTAAAAATGGATAGTTATTGAGGGCCTGCCAGATAGCTCAGCAGACTAAAGCACCTGCTTAGGCAGAGCACACGGACTGAGATTTGATCCCCAGCACCACAAGCTGTGCTAGCCCCACTCCTGGGGTGCGCTAAGACAGCAGTTGAGACTGAGCATGGTGGCACATGCCTGTAATCCCAGCACTTGGGAGGTTGAAAACAGGAGGATCATTACAAGTCCAATCTATGTAGTAAGCCCCTGTAGGCCCTACACTAAATACATTTAGAAAAAGAAAAGAATAGATATTATTTTCACCTTTCACAGAGTTTGGTATATGTTAAGTTCAATTTAGTGATCTTTTTAAATTAAAATTTGTTCAGAAATAATATTTTATAAACAATGTTGTTTGTGATTTTTTACATGGAAGGATTATTTTGTGTTTTGTTCTCTTTTGTAATAGAGTCTTGGTATGTAGTCCACACTGGTCGCAAACTACCTTAGCCTCCCAAGTGCTGAGATTACAGACATGCACCACCATGTGTGGCTACACATAGGAGTTTTGAAATGATTTTTAAAATTGCCTATGACATTCCCTTGCCTTCTAATTTTCTAGAAGGGTACCTGTTTCTTCTCTCTCTCTCTCTCTCTCTCTCTCTCTCCCTCCCTCCCTCCCTCCCTCTCC